GCTCAGCCAGGGTCTGTGTAGGTACATGGCTGGTCTCTTCAAGGGCTGTAAAATGCCTGACTGGCAGAGTTCAGGATCAGAGGAATTCCTGGCAGAATTCTGTGCATGGCCAGAGCTCTGCTACCTCTGCAGAGCATGGAGTCCCTCCCTGCCCCGTCCTTGTCCTTCAAACATAACAAAGTGGAAAGACAGAAGCAAGAAGGCAAACTGCTGTGTAGTGTTTCCTCAGAGACAGCAAGACACAGTGAAGCAACAGGATATATGAAAGGGTTTCAGCAGGATCAAGAGTAAAGTTCTGGATTATATTCCTTTAGTTAACCTGTCACCTGCCACGAGGCTCCTTTATCTTTGAGCCTAAGAAGACCCTATTTTGTCCAGTTCATTTTAATCACTGCATTTAAATATGTGTGTAAAAAACAACAACAAAACCCCATCTGTGTGAAACCAAATTTGATATTTGTTTCCTCTCTTAATGCGATCCCATGAATTTCTTACATTGTTGTGTCTCATGTAGTAAGGGTCCCATGCAGAGAGCAAACAATACAGCAGTGAGAAGACAGATGCTCTGCTAATGGGAAACCAAGGAGCAGAGAATCTGTGAGGGATTACAGGCAGCCTGGGGTTGGAATACATTATAGCGTAGCACCCAATCCAGAAATTAGTTTTCAGAATTAAATGCCTGAAGCATTTTGGCAAAAACTCCTTATCATCCTGCTGAAAAGCTCTTAAAGCCTAAAAGAGTAGGAGTCTCAAGGCTGAGCAGCCGTGTTGGGTGACTGTGCAGTGCTGCAGCGGTGAATTGGAGATTTTACAGCTTCATACCATTACCGGGGCAGCAGCAGCCACACCCACTGAAATGTTACCCACTGGCTCTGCTTGCACGAACCTTCAGCAGGTTTTGAACATCCTCATCAAAGAAGCAAAGGGGCCTGAATGAGATTCCAGGGTCTGTTTCCAGGAGGAAGGTTTTGTTTCGTTGAGTGCATCACAGCAGGGAAGAGCAGCAGCCCCTCCTTGGGCACAGCCAGGCATGTGAAGGAGGAGCAGTGACATGTCTTTTCAAAGGCCTGACATTGCCTAAGGTAGAAAGTTTGGGTCCTGAAGCCTTTTTCAGGCATACTATTTTCTGAATGTTTTTCTTTTGAAAACCATGATGGGAACATCAAACTTTAAAAGACCCTGGTAGACAACCAAGATTTGCTACAGGACTGAGAACAGGCAGGAGAAATTGTTTCTCATAGTACTTGGTGGGATTATCCTCCATGCATAATTGTTCATTATATGCTCAAAATTCATTGCTAATTTCTTTCAGATATATTGAATATTAGGCAGAAGAGTTATAAATCCCAAGATTATCACAGGAAGATACTATCAGGCCTAAGACAGAAGGGGTCTTGTTTTCCTCTTACATTAAAATAAAGACTCTTGAACAGGATCATTAGATTTTTTTTTTTTTTTTTTTTTTTTTTTTTTTTCCTGTTTGGTAATCAAAGTATATTGGACAGCAAACAAAAGAAAAGTTCAGCCAGCCAAGTCTTCTACTTTATTTTTACCCTTCTATTCTAATGTAATTAACATATTTCTCAATGTTTATTTAGCTTCCCAGAGACTTAGTTTATATAAGTATCATTGAGGAGCTGAATTACAAAGTCTTGATTTGTGCATATAAAATGAGATTTTATTATCCTGGTAGAGAAGACAAGGACAAGGTAAATAAGGGAGAAAACAGTTGAGACCAGACTTAAGAAATCAGGAAAAAATAATATGCCAGCTCTTCAACTTGCACTTTGTTTTCTTTGCATCCTGGTGTACCCAGCATTGTACTCCTGAGTCACAGAAGGGAGAGTAAAGGGAAACACTTCATTTTCAGTTTTGAATTTCAGAACTGGTCTTTTAATAACAACTTCTCTCAGTGTTTTTATGTATGCTTAAGGAGTATCTGTAATGAATATTAGGGAGAGTTCAAAATTACACTTCCCATTTGTTGTGGATTGAGTGTTCATGGACTTACTTCTGACTGTTCCCATCCAGACTGAGATTGGTCTGTATTTACATCACTTTACTGCTCTGCCAATAAAAGACTTTTTTTAAGAACCTGGCACAGAGGGAACCCTTATAGAGTAAGGCTAGAATTGAGTTCCACATTGCTTAGATCCTGAATGAAGCTGTGCCTATGAAATACCACGGGAGCAGGAACCAGAGCCGAGATTTGGCTTCTCCATGAGGGTCTTGCCTATCAGCCTGTGTCACTTGACTGCTTCACCTCAGCCTGTTTTTCATGTCTCTAGATTGGGAATGGGGGCTACTGTGCTCAAAAGCTCTTTTTACTCCTCTGACTCTGTCAGTAATAAGAAGGGCTCCGAGTCTGTGTAGCAAAACCTTCTCCTCTCTCGGTTAGCTGCTCGTGACCTCTGGGGCACCAGAGCTTCTCCCTCCCAGCCATGCTGGGAGCCACCCCAGGAGGATTTTGGTGTGCTGAGAGACAGCAAAGAGGCTGTTCTGCCTTGTCTGCAGTCTGGAGCAAGTCACAACTCCTCTCCCATTGCACACACAAGATCTGTGAGGGTTGTTAATAATTGAGTGCTTCAAAGACAGATGTTGACAATTTTAATTAGTATTTTAAGACTTTTAAATTCTGCTTCTAAAATTCAAAGCTTAGTACAGTAGCTCTATTTGAACACTCCAAGTTAGGATCAAACAGTGCGAAGAAGCAGTTCACAGTAAGCTCCAGAAATGTTAAGAAAGTTATTTATTGCTTTTAGCAGCTGTGTCCACAGCATTGCCATCCTCTAGAAAACAGTGCTGCTGGGCTCTGAGGCTGTTACTCTTTTCCAGCCCAAATAGATTTAAAATACAAGCAGACCTGGATCCAAAACCCTGATCACACTGAACCAGACCTTCAGTGTACCTGGGACTGACCCTGTGACCAGGAGAGAGAAGAGTGTAGTGGTAAAGGACAGCTCCCTGACCCTGGGAAATATTTTGTCACTGCTGTTAGACTTACTGCCATTTTGCAGTGTCTTCTTAATGGGGTAATCCAGTTCTGGATGTGTTTGACTAATAACAATTCTCTTGTTAAAAACAAATCATGGTTTTAGTTTAATAGGGTTACTTATATAAAGAGTGATTTTGTGTCAGCAAAGCCTTTCTTTCTTACAAATAGTATACTTTATGACAATCTAATTAGCAATAAATGCCATTAATCTGACCACTATGCCGTTCTTTTCCGGGGGAATAAGGTCCCTTCTTAATCAATAGCTGGGTGAATGCTCCTTTGCATTCCTTATCAAATGACAGCCAGATGGTACTGGTAAATTCATTCCAGCAGGATTTTAGAATTAGCTGGATTTGTGCTGTTGTTAATCCTCCGCTGTCTGTGTCACTAGGACCTGCCCACCTGTTTCCAGTAAGCCTGGAGTTCCCAGCCCTAGGAACAGTCTGGCCAGAGGGTTACTCAGCCATGGGGCAGCCAAGAAGCATCCCAAGCAGTGAGACCCTTTTTCTGCATCAGTAAGAAAAAAACAAAAAAGGAAATAAAAGTAGTATCCTGCAGAAATAGCCAGCTAGGACTGCCTGTATTTGTTCCTCAACACCCTGATCTCTTCTAGGGAGGTTTCAAAGTTTCTTAAGACTGCATGAGCTGTGTTTCTTAGGGCACAGTAAGTTTTGGGCTGTGACAGCTGCTATATCATTTACTGACTTCTGCGCCCATCAAAGTGTCTATGAGACCTTTTCCTACATAATCACTTTGTTGCATAGCAACAATAATTTTGACTCCTACCTATTGATCCAACATAGCATGTAATCCCCTCACTCTAATAAAAAAGAAAACATATGGCAGCTCCAGGCAGGGAACTACAGGCTTTTGACATGGTGGGGGACAGTTAATCCCCACTAAACCAGTGGGGAATGGAGCAAGATATACACTCTGTTGGGCTCAGAGGATGCATTAGGTGCCTGAGCCAATTAACCTGTGTTCTGGGAGAAGTCTGGTTTGCATTCATCCTCTCCTTCCCCATCTTTTATGTTCTGCAACTAAAGCACATTTCAGGTGAGCTCTGCTAGAAGAGCATCACTGTGCAACATCCCCAGGTAGGTGGGCACCCCTTCCCTGGCAGGGGGGACACAGCTCTCAGCTGAGATGGGGCTGCAGAGGGTGAGGGGAAAGTTCAGCCCCTGCCAACACCAGTTTCAAACGTACTTGGCTGGAGTTCCTCAGGAAGATGTCTCTTGTTTGTAGGCTGTGGTTTGGTAGGTCAGTCTGATTACCTGGATGGTTTTTCTGTACCTCTAAACAGAGGCCTAAAAAGCAGATCTTGGCATCAGAAACAGGATCTGCTTTGGGGACAGGAGCACAAAGTTAAGGTCAGGACTGCTCAGGCAGGGAACACAGAGCTTTGGTCCCAGGCAGGCAAAGCCTCTCCCCACAGCTGTGTCCTTGGCACTGCAGCGTGGGCCTTGGACCATGCTTCTGAGGTACCTCACTGCTGCCCACACTGTGCAGTGAGCCCAGGCTCCTGTGAGTCCACTGCTGGATTCTTCCCTGGCTGGAAGGCTTGGTATCCACAAGGCAGCTAAATCCTTCTTGGGTCTGGGTTCATTTTTCTAGCTTGCAAATAGCACTGAGTGAAATCTAGGTCCAAAGTCTGAGATTGCTAATTTGAGCAGGATTTGGGAGAGGAGTCCTCTGTTATTTAAAAAAAACCACCAAAAGAGTCAACTCAAGCTAGTTTCTGCATATCAAACACAAACTTTCCATAAATCAAACTTACAATAATACTGTTACCTGGAGAATCTCAGTGGAAATATTGCAGTGGATCAGAAGGCCAGACTGATCTCTGAACATGCTGCAAGAGCTGAGCAAAGGCTTCTGAGTCACTGTCTCCCAAACCTGTGTCATACACAGCACAGGCTGGAATAGCACAGTCTTCATCTAAAAGGTATTTCTATGGCTAGAGGAGTGGCTACTAATGATCCTTTCTTTTCTGTCATTTTAACAGTATTCAGGTTTTCAGCAAACAGCAGACAAGTGCTTTGTATGTGGACACCTCATAATGGAAATGGTAAGATACCTAAACTCCTAATGATGGGTAACTTGGGAAGTGCACTGTGAGATATCTGCTTTTCCCTACCCAGGCTGGTATTGTGTCTTCACTGCTGTCAACACAGTTTTTGAAACTGAGGCAGTAAATAAAAATACCTTCATGCTCTGCTACTTCTCTTAAGTACAGAAAGTTGGGCTTCTTTGCTACCTGAGAACATGGAAGGCTGTTATTCTGCCATTTGTTAATTAAAATAAAGTAGAATTTTAATACTAAGGGAGAAAGTACAGCACAGCTTCGTATGAGAATATGGTAAAGGAACACAGTGGGTGTGCTCTCTAAGACAGTAGATAACAAGAGCTCAGTCATGTGGGTGGAATCTGGGATAGAGCAGAGAGGGGCATATCAATAGTCCTGAGTTTGTCACCTGCTCTGTGACTTGCTTTGTTTACCCCCTGTTACTTGCTCCATATCATTTAAAATGCATTATTGCCACTGGGATTTTTAAGGAGTCAGTAGTCAGAGCTACTTTTGTAATTAAAAAAAAAAAAAAAATCAAAGAGCTTTGGGGTTGACCAGATCCTGCTGGCATCATTTCAGTGGGTGAAAGTAAGAAGAGTTATGTGTGCTCTTCCTAAGCAGAAATTCCCAAACCAAGTGAAGTGGTTTGCACAACGAAGAAGGGCAGACCCTGTTGTGTATCTATTTTTCTCTTGCTTTAAAGTGTGCATGAACCTCAGTGTGTCCGAGAAAAGTAGCTGGTGTGTTGCACACATGGAGGTTCAGTCAGAGCTGGAACAGGGACTTCACTAATGAGGATTCTGGCTTATATTCTGGCACCACTGGTTGGACAAGGATATTGTTCGTTTTAGCCCAAGAGCAAATTTCTAGAGTTGTGTCATGCTGGAAGGGGGAGGGGTATCCTGATGTGCATGTTTTGAGCTGGCCCTTAATTGCAGAATCCCAGGCACGAGTCCATAATATCTTGCTGGTGGAACTCAGTAGCTGGAAGCTTGGCAGGTGCTTGTCTGCTTCTCTCCCATCAGCAAGTGTGTTCTCACAAAAGGAAACTGCTCTGGGAGCTCCAGGAATTCAGCACTCCAATGTGGGTAATTCCAGCGTGCCTGGGAGCTCGGCCCGGCCCTGCCGCGTGCTGGCCCAGGGCAGAGCTGGGGCTCTGCAGGGCTCTGCAGGGCTCTGCAGGGCTCTGCAGGGCTGGCTGAGGAGCTGCCCTGTGCCCAGGCCTGTGGCTGCACAGCTGTGCCAGGCTGGCACCGCAGCACGCTCCTGCAGCAGCACCAACGCCAGCACAGGGACCAGCTGGCTCTGGCTCAGAGTGGCCTTACCAGTCAAACAGAGTCTGACACTACTGAACCACAGGGCTTCATCAGAGAGGGGGTAAAGATTAAATTAAATTGGTCTTTTTTTTCTGTATTTCTTTCTTCTTGGTTTGATCTTTATTCATAGAATCACCTATAGGGCCATGGGAGCTTGGTCTGTGTACATTTTTCATGTCAAACTTTCCAGCAGCTCCAAGCTGAGCACTGTGCTAGCAGCTGCAATTTTGAAATCACCTTCCAAAGATATTTCTTAACACCCAAAATGTATGGAATTGGTCTTATTATCTACTGAGAGCTGCCTGAAAGTGATAATTGTGTCTCACTCTTCCGAGGGGCTCATTAATGGGCTTGCAGCATCCTCCTCAATGTCCCAGTACCACACTGAGTGTTATGTATGAAGATATCAGGAGTGGAGGATCTGTTCTGTAGTAGTGCAGCCAAGGTTGCATCAGACCTTTCCCCGAAACCTTTAAAATGCAGTAGGGAAGGTCAATGTGGGAAAAGCCTGGGCAGGTGCATGGATCAGTATCCAAACAGATGGATAGTGATGGAATTTTATCAGAAACTAATGGGCCCCTATGACTGAGTGATAACCAGTCAGTAACTCTGGGAGATTAGGATTGTTAGTTAATAAAGAGGCACCCCTTTATTTGCTTGTTTTGTTATTTAACTTCTTTGAGTAATGACCAGTTTGGATTCTGTTTGTCACAGCCTGTTAAGTTTTGTAAAGTAACCTCTGTATCCCAGTAACTTGTATTTGACATTTCCCCAGAAGTGGTCTGTGAAGCCATTTTTAATTTTCATTGGCAGTACTGGCCCTGCAGATCTAAAGCTGATGGGCTTAGCCTGATTTTCAGTTCTTGCTCTTCATTGGGAGCATATTGAAACCCACTAAAATGAGCAAGTTGATTGTTTTAAGAGGCTTCTTGCTGACAGATCTACAGAGTGGTAATTTCATCCTGAAGTGATTTTCTCACTGTCATTATTAAGAATGAGAGAGACACAGTGGTTTATGGGGAGAGACTATCTCATGTAATCATGCATCCACTTATTTTGTTGTTTGCCTCATAAGATCTTACAGGCCCTTGGAAAGTCCTACCATCCTGGCTGCTTCCGCTGTGTGGTGTGTAACGAGTGCTTGGATGGAGTCCCCTTCACTGTAGATGTGGAAAACAATATTTACTGTGTCAAAGACTACCACACGTGAGTACACAAATCCACTGCATGCTCAGAAATATTACAGTAGTTAAATCATGGTAGTTACAAGCCTTGTGATAGAGAAAAAGGTCACTCCTGTTTGCTCAGGTGTCCCTCAACTGCTTCTTTCATGTGTTGCATTTGTAAAGTGTTTTCAGGTTTGTTAAGTAGTACCTTATGGGCCCAGTATGGCATACAGTGGTCAAGTGAGGCTGAAAATCAAACTTGTGTCAGAGGATGGATGGGCTTCTTGGGGGCTGTTTCTCTACTTCTTTCAGGACTACCAACACTAATTATACCAGACCACTTCTGCAAGTGTTGGTAGGTTCTGCTGGCTGTTTCAAGAGCAGAGGTTCTGGCAGTGCTTGACACAGGTGTAAGTTCTGTTAACTGAGACAGAAGACATGTAATAAACAGTTACTGTTAGAACAATTTGAGCCTTACCTGACAAAAGGTAGAGGTTTAAGAGATTGCTTTTGGACTCTTTCCTGATTCCACTCAAAGGCAATGGGATCCTGCTCTTAGCTCCAGTTCACCAATAACTCAGTTATGCAGCAGGAGTAAATCACCCTGGGTTCAACCCTGTTGGTGCCAGTCTGTCTGTGTTACAAGGACACATTGAGTGTTGGCCCAGTGACTGTCATAAAATGCAGCTGTGAACCATAAGCCTGTGGTAGATTCTGGCCATGATCAGCCCCTCTCCTGTTTAGGACACATGGTTATGTCTTTCTGATGTCAGATGGGAGTCCCTAAGTCAGGAGCTGCTTTGTAGTCAAGCACCAAGGCTCTGGAAGAATTTGAATGGTTTTATAAATAAATGAAGGAAAAAAAATGGCATATATAGGAAGAGGGGTGGATTCACTATGCCTCAAGGTCAAGAAGACCTAAACAGTAAAGCTGGGATAGATCAGCCTTTCTCAAATCTCCTTTTCACTGAATATCATCAAACAATTAGAGGTGTTTGAAATCCTGTGGATCTCCATTTTACTAAAAACAAGGCAGGATTAGAATTACTGTCTTGCTTCTACTTTTTGAAGATGCTTTAAATGTGATTGGAACACTTTCTTCTTGCACTCTAGGGTTTTTGCACCAAAATGTGCTTCCTGTAACCAGCCGATCCTCCCAGCACAGGTAGGTGTTAACATGCACCGACTCCTAGGGAAAACAGCTGTTGGCATTTGGGCACTTTCTGAAAACACACTAAAGGCTTTTCCTTCGTCTCCCAGAATCTCTGCTATGTTAGATACTAAATTAAACACAGTTCAGCAGTAAAGTCACTCCCAAGACTTGTAATAGAGGTTGTAATAGTCATACTATTTCTACAGCACAGTACTTTAGATCTCTATGGTGCTTTCCAGGTCTTCATTAATGTGTTAGAAATCTCTTTTAATTGAAAACACTGACTGGGGCTCCAAGAACAACTCAGGGAGTAGAACCCTTGAAAAGGCATCTGATGGTTACTGACCCTGTGAGAAGGCCACATGGTCTGTTGTCCTGAGGTGGCAAAAACTGAAAGTTTTTAAAGGGGTTGTAAAGGCAACAACAGAAGTGGAACCAGGTGAAACCTGCCTGCAAGCTCAGCCTGTGCTGACAGTGTTATTAGCCCAGAGTGGGCTCCCTGGTGCTCTGGTGGGTGCAGGACCCTCTGAGTTGCCTTTGCTGAGGTCACTGACCAGCTCATTTGTAAGCAAAGGCCTCAGCATCTCCCTGCTTTTCCTCTGGTCATGTTTACAGCATCAGAGCTTCCCTCCTGAGAGCTGCTGTGCTCCAGTGAAGCCTGATGCTAGAGCCTCTCATATGCCCACCTCCATCACTCTGCACATTACTCTCATTTGTCATTAGTATTTCTGTTAATTGGCCAAGTCTTACATAACCAAAAAAACCTATAAAGGCTGGACCAGAATTGCTTGTCTTGATGGGTTGTGAGAAGAAAATCTCTATGTAAGTGTCATTGAATTTGGGTCTGAAAAAGAATTCTTTTTTCTTTTCAAGAAAGAAAGAAAAAGAAATAAAAGGCAGTCATAGTGCTGACTCACCTGACAACTAGCAGGACACACTCCATATTCTTTCCCTGGGAGATTTCTTAGGTTAGTTCAAGTCTGGCAGTGCAAGTGCTGACTTGCCCACAACTTCTCTCAGACATAGTCCACATCATATCTGGTGCTCCAACCACACCTGGAACTGGAAACAATGCAAGGCAACCAATTTAATGAGCTCTGTCTTCAGAGTGGATCAAGAAAAGAGCCTGTGAGGTTACAAGAAGGGTATGGGCTGCTCTGCAGGGCCTGAGGCTCAGCCAGGAATTGCACAACTCTGCTGCACCCACCCTCATGCTGAGGTTTAGCCTGTGCACATAATTACCTGCCAGACTGGTATGTCAGTCCCCATGGGGACATACAGTGACATGTGCATGGTTTGAGAGGAATGCAAGTCCTGGAAATCAGAGCAGGATGTATACAAGGAATAGTTACCCAGTGAGCAGGTTTTTGACTGGTAATTTGTTCAGATTCTGGGTGCCTTTAGAAGATTCCTTATTTCAAGACTGATTTGTTCCTTGAGGATGAAGTTTTGACTACACTTCCCAAATGACCTCTGCAACTTAGATGTGCCAGACACCCAGACTGGTGCTAGACAGCTAAGGAGTGGTGTAGTGCCATGTTCCATGGTCAAGACCTTCAGTGGTCACAGAACTCTGCATGGGGGCAGAGGGGATTCCCCCAGGAAAACAGCTCTCCAAAGCAACCAGCTGGGCACTGCGTGAAGGCTGAAAAAACCCTTCTTGGACACCACTGTCACTTTCTCTCTGCTCCCCCCAGGGCTCCGAGGAGACCATCCGGGTGGTGTCAATGGACAAGGACTACCACGTGGAGTGCTACCACTGCGAGGTGAGCCCTGGGCTCTGCCCACCCCAGGCAGGGTCTGCCCTGGGGGACCTGCTGTGCCCTGGGGGGACCTGTTCTGCCTTGGGGGGACCTGCTGTGCCTTGGGGGGACCTGCTGTGCCTTGGGGGGACCTGCTCAGCCCCTGGGGGGACCCTGACTCTCCCCACAGGCTGCACTTGCTGGCTCTTGCACAGCTGGCTCTGCCCCACAGCTCCTGGAGGAAGACAACCAGGTGAATGCTGCCTGGCCCAGAAGTGGTGCTGTCATTGCTAGTACAAAATTAGTTTAGGAGGGTTTTTTTTTCCCAATATATACTTCCCAGCTTCAAAGCTGGGCTTGGTTTGTTGGGTTGAATTTTCTCAATACTTCTGGATGGGGAGTGAGCAAACAGTAGGTGCCAATTCTCTTTTTCCTCATCTCTAGGTACAGTCTGTAGGGCTCTGATCTGAGGAGACTTGAATTTACATTGGCTGTGCAGGGAAGGCATCTCACTGGAAGGCCTTTCTAGGGGATCTGTTTTCTCCATGCTGAATGAATATTGATTCTTTAATAGGAATTGACCAGGATACCATTAACTTTCTGTCACTTTTTGGGAGTAGTTTCTTATTGTGCAGAACATTTAAACATCTGTTGCCACAGATCAAGTTGTGGAATTAGTGCTCTTGCTTGAGAGGGGAGGCCTGAGTTCATCCTTAGTCCTGCATCCAGGAACATGAGAAGGGGAACAAACTCACTAAGTTGGGATCAACCAAAAACTTCCCTTTTGCTGACACAGCACACAAATATCCACACAGATCTTACCTGTTAGCACCAGGGGCAACAATACAGCAATGCTGCCTTCAGGCATGAAGGTTTTATGAAGAATCTTCTGTCTGAAAGAGAAAATAACAAAATTCAAGGCATCTTGAAATGTTATGTACTTAAATGTAAGGAAGGCCCCATCCACTCAGCTGTCTCCTTTCAACAGATACCTGATACTCTATCCATTTCTATTAATTTTTCAAGAGAAATCAGCACAGGAAATCACAGTATTTTTGAGAGCTGAACTTCCCTCCTCCTTCTCCCAGCTATTGCTTTGTGCAGGCTTCACCTAAAATGACAGCTCCCTCCCCTGCTCTCAGGCTATTGACTTTATGCTGGAATGTCCCACTGGGGGTTTATTTTCCCTTCTGTTTCATTATTCATTTCCCCATTCTCCTTCCCATTTGAGGCAAATCAGGCTGCCTCCACATCTGCTCAGAAAGGCAGAGTGCATTTATGTACAGAAATCAGGAGTTAGCTGTGTGTCAGCAGGGGTGGGTTACTGACTGAAGCCCTCAAAGCAGGCTCTCTGCACACTGCTGTCCTCAAATGCTGCTGGAAAAGTGAGTGCCAATACTTTGAGGTACACAAGGTAGGCACATGAAGATTTTAGCAAAGGCTGCCATGACTTGGGCAGCCACTTGTCATCTGCTGCTGCTGTCACCCTCACCTGGTGGCCACACACACTCAGTGGTCACATTGGACACTTTGCAGCTTTTCTGTGTCACCTCTTTCACGTGCAACCATTTGGCTTCTGTGGAGGAGTTCAAGTCCTTTTGCAGATCACTGGAGCCCCATTCTGAAACTGCAACCCACTGACAAGGCAGGCTTTCTCCTTGCAGAAAGGGAATTCAGTTTTGGAGAGGGAAGAAGATAAGAACACTTGGCACATCTGTAGGGCATCAAATTGGTAAATTCTAATTTTATATCTGTATAGTATAAATTGCTAAAAAGGCATTCTATAATATGTAGCAACACACAGGAAATTACCTTGGCAGATACTTTAATTAAGACCTCTCTAACATTTCAGTTTTAAGGCTTACTTTAAAACCCATTTTCAGTCTTATTTCAATATTGTAAACTTTTGGGATTTAAACTTTAGTTGTGAAAGCTGAAAAACTATACTCTGTGTTTAGTTAAAAGCTTTGCATTTGTTTTCAGTACTAAAACCACCTATATATCCAGGTTTTTCTGTTTGGTTTTGGTTTTTTTTCTTTCTGTTAATTGCACAGATAAATACTCAGAATCTCTGGTTTCTCAGAACTGATCACAGTAATAATTTCTAAATATTTAGCATACTTTAAACATTAAATCTGAGTACCAAACTTCAATGATTTCTAAATGCCCTCAGAATTACAGTGATGGCAGTTGGAAATCAAGATGGTCTCTATTGCAGTGTACATAAGAGTCAGCAGGCAGGATCACTGTTAGCTGCTTTTCTGTTTATCTCTGTCTCTCTCTGTAGTTACATGTCAGTCTAGAGGTACCAGCATTTCCATTAAAGATGGACCACTGGCCTTGAAGTCTTTAATTTTTTTTAATTCCAAATTAGAGAAAGTGTAGACCTGCTCCAGAAGTAAGATATGTCACCTCTTCCCACTTTTCATTCTCTGCTTATGCTCCCCCACATCTGGCTTGCTGCCTTGCTGCAGAATCAGCTCCTGCTCGGTTCAAGCCTCTTCCAGGTTGTATTTGTCAGGATCAGCCCCAGGCCTGCTTTTAGGTTTTTGATTTTCATCACCATTTACTAGATGGAGAAGAGACCAGAATGGGAAAGAGTGGTGGAAAAAAAGGGCTGGGCACTACTACAGGCTGTTGGATTTCAGTAATGTCAGTGTGCGATGGTCAGGGTGCAGCTCCCAGGAGCTGTGGAGGCTGCTGGCTTTGGAGGCAGGGAGGAGCTCTTGGGGCCATGCAGGACAGGGCAGCAGGGCTGTGAGAGGCCTGCCTGAGTCACTCACTGATCTGGGATTTCTCTCTTTCTTCTAGGACTGTGGCTTGCAGCTCAATGATGAGGAAGGCCATCGTTGTTACCCCCTAGAGGGCCACTTGCTCTGCCACAGCTGTCACATCAGGCGCCTTAATATCAAACTGCCATCACATCCACCTCCAAGCTACCCCATGCATGTCACAGAACTCTGAAAGACATTTCCATGATCAATAAGCCACTGGAAAGAGAAGACAAAAATCTAAAAATTACTTTCATGTTCCTTTAAAGATGAGGTTCCAGTAATAACCGTCTAAACCAGCTATTTATTTTTGAATCAGAGGTGAGGGGTCCTTTTCTGATCTTGTACATATGCATTCTTTTATCTAGACATTTTCACTGAGACACCGTCTACTTGAACAAACAATTACACTAAACTGTAGCTGTAAATGTCAGCATTTCTAAAAACAATGGTACAAAGGGCTGTTCTGCACTCCCTACTCTCTTCCTTCAGTGGAGATTTCACCCAAGTAAGGAGTGTAGAATTACTTTCCAAAAGTTAGCACCTTATCATATTGCAGCAAGCATGATAAGATAAATGCTAGCATTTTAGCTAGTTTTGTTGAATTCTGGTCTTAGAGAATACTTAGATTCCAGAAGTAGGGAATAGGCAGCAAGCAGGTGTTTTAGCCAGGGCAATTTTCAGCAAGGTTATAGAAGGGTGTTCTGTGAAGAAGTGTCAGGCATGTTCTCCATCCTACAGGATCCCACAGTCATCCAAAGACTAATTATTTAGCTTGTTCAAGAAATATGGCAAGCATCTGCTGTAAAACCCACAGTACAGAGGATTGTATCCAAAAGATTGGCACATGCAGGGTCAGCAGTTGCAGCCCTCTGTAATTGCTGGTTTGTGTAGCCATGGCTTCAAAATGCATTCCTATCAACTGGACCATTTGGCACTTACTAAAGAATTCATCTTTCAAACCTGTTTTTTGTTCAATAGGGTTCTATGCAAAGGTACACTTGTCTTTATACTGCTTGTTTTATCCAAGACTTCATTTGTTACCAACTGCTTCATGATTGTATGTTGAGACATTATTAAAGAGAGGCACAGTGGTTTGGTATTACCTTTTCAGCTTTGTGTTCTTTTTGAGAATACTTTTCAACTGATTATGGTGATTGTCTTCATTGGAAAGCAAAGTGCAGTATGGCAGGAATAGTAATTTAGAGAGTCAGACTATGAAACATCAGTGTTTACAAGTGTTAGCTGCACATAGAATGTACACACTTTCATGTTTTGCATAAGATTTTACAGTACCCTCAGACCTCTGGGGAGAAATATATGTCTTCCATATAGGAAGTTAGATGAATCTTTTTTTCTGGTGTTTTTTCTACCATGTGCTGATGTTTTACATGCAAATCACACATCTGTATGTCAAAAAAATTCCTTGCATTCTCGTGAGAATTGACCCAGCTTTCCTGAAGCTGCAATTTATCATTGCTGTCTTCAACCTGTATTCAACATTACAATAAAATAAAATTCTTCAGCTCCAGGGGAAGTAGAAATACCAGACTGGATTCTTGGCATGTGTAAATTGGGACATTTCCATGCCAGTTCTCAGCACTTGAGAATCTGCCTGATCCATTCGGAAATGATCCCGTGTTAAATTCAGCATGATGGAATGACTTATTTGGCAACACCATTGCAGTTTAGTTTCTTATGCTCCATTGACTTTTTGAAAGCCATTTGTGGTGCTCTTGAAAAGCACAAAGAGCATCCAATGGCCACTAATTCCTAAGTAGAATAATTAACTCCCTTAACAGAACTTTCTGATAGTCTGGAATTTCCTTATGAGGAAAGATGGGGGGAAGGGGAACAGGAAAAATTCCTGAGAACTATTTTTTCTGTTAGTAAGGAATAAAAGGGATGCTTTCTGAACTTCTGCCAGACTGGCCTAGATTAACCTGTCCTACTGGAGGCTCCTGGGCAAAGTAATTTTGTAGTTAATATATATCAGTTTATAATTAACATGTTTAATGAAAATGCCAGGATTTGAAGTAACTACAGTGCAGTCAGTGCCCCATTTCTGCACTGTGGTCCAAGAGGCCTGGCCTGCAAATGAGAGGCCAGGAGTGCCCATGCACCTCTGCATTTGCAGACACTCCTCCGTGTCCATAGTCAGCAGCCCAGCCTCAGGAGGAAGTGGAATTACATGTGCCAGCAAATGTTGGAGAAAAAATGTCTTAAACTGGATTGTATTACTAGATCAATTCCTTCAAGCTACTACAAACATGGAAGGTGCCAGAGCTTCAGGATAAACTTTTAGCACCAGCTGCAATGGAATCCTTTTTCCATTGCGAGAGGGTGCTTTGTACCACATTTAGCTTTGAGGCATTTTCACTTGCATGTCTTTACAATATATATTAAGGGACCCAGATTAAGAAGATATCATTAAAATACATAGAGAAGGTTTGGGTCTTTTCCTGGGAACAAATAACAGTTACTTGCTGAACTGGAAAAATGCTTTGCCCTACCAGTAGAGTAGCAAAACCTTCACACTGACAGTGGACAGAGTTGGAGGTGACTTACGTTGGCATTCAGCCCAGTTCTCTGCCAGCACCTTCCTGAACACTTTGCCTCCATCAGGGGTAGGTTTAAGTTTCCAAAATACTTTCCAAGGGCCAGCACATTTTCAAACATGTACATACCACACCACTTCTTCATGGTTTTTTCTTTTTTTCTGAAACTATCATCCTGTAGAACAGAATAATATTTAATTTCATTTGACATGCTGATTTTTCAGTCTCTTGTAGTTCTGTGCAGTTCTGATCTGTTAAGTGTCATCATGGTAAAAATTCTGAAAGGTAATACATTAAAATAGAATAAGCAATTTGTTTAAAACCAGAAAGCAGCAGCTGTTGTTCTAGTATTTTCTATAGACAGATGCATTCCATTACTGTATTAGGAAGTGCAGCTTTGCTTTTCCAGCATTTGCTATAAAAACTGGGGCTTGAGTGAGATTTGCCAGGTTTGGTTGGGGTTTTTTCAAATCAAAGAGAAAAATAAAATCAAACCTAAAATAATGATGTGCTGTACTCCTTAGTGCTAGTGACAGTTTCTGCACATTTTACCTCCTGCCTGGGGAATTATGTAAATGAGAAATCTTGTTTTAATGATTTTCTTACGAAATATTCTTGTGTTAAATCAGTTCAACACAGATGAGAACTTCCTAAGTTCACCTTACGGTGCAGTTTTTCTTCAGAAGCCGTTACAGTACTTTCAGAGCATTTCCATGAAGTTACATCAGAACAACCTGTTCTCATTTGCATCAGGCCTTCCCTTCCCATGGAGGAGAGGAATGTTCCCAACCCCTCCAGCAGAAGCTGCTGTGGGCGGTGCAGGGTCCCTGTCCACGGGAGGGCGTGTTCCAAAGAAAGGACCAAAATAATCATTTGAAAACAAAAGAATGCACTCAGAGAATTGAGCTTACAGAGACGGTTTGTTTGGGTTTCTTTCCTTTTCCTTGTGTGGACGTGTGTGTATATATTTTGTAAGGTGGAGCTTCAAAAGGAAAACATGGTTAGAGGAACTCTTTAAGACCAGAAATTCCAGAGTAGTAAAGTAAACCAAAGCTCTAAAGGAAACAAAAGCTGCTTTCTTGTGTTTCAAGAAAAGTTTAAAAGTTTGTGATTCATCCTGTAACAAATGCCGTAACTAGAGTATATAATTTGACTTAAATTAAGTTTTCATTTGAGAAATATTTTCATTTTCTTTAAAAGAATATAGTTTTCTTCCAAGAACTTGGACCAACGTTGATTTTTATTTTGTAGGAAATATATGAATTCCCAGTTTGTATATCATGTAACTAGTTTACATGCTGAAAATATACATTAGTTAACTATTTTTGTATATATATCCTTGTAAAACCTTTCAATGTGCTTCTGTCTTTTAGTCTTTAGAATTACTTGTGGTTTTGTGTTTCAGTGTTTGATTCCCTTGATTGTTAAAGAAAAAAGATTGGGAAATGTAGATTTATTTATCTAAAGAAGAAGCTACTTGCTATCATCTTAAGTTATTTAATATTAAAGTCAGAAGTTTCATTTAACCTTAGATGCTATAATCTGCTTTTTTCAATAAAGACATTTTGTAGTTATCTCTGGTTTTGTAGCCTGTTGCATGTAAGTATTTTATTTTTATTTAATCTAGGTAGGCATTAAAACAATTTTCAGGAACCCTTGTATTGCCTACAGAAATGCCTAACTGATATTAATTGATTGCATCTGCATTCATGAAAGATTTTGGTCCTCCAGTGCAAGTGTTATTAATTAAGGTCTAAAATATGCCCACAGCTAATGTTCTGCAGCTGCACTTAGAAAAGAATTTAGTCACTCTGGCACTTTTTAATTAAGCTTTAACCAGTCTGGCTAGTTCAGATGTCGGACAGTCAGTATTGAGGAACACTTCCTTTTCAAAACCCTCATTATTTTTTTGCGTGTTCTACAAGAGAAATATTTGCCTGGGCTATGAACTTAGCTTGAAGCACTTAGGCCTTGGTTCGGGGAATTTTCTCTATATTCTTGCTTAGTGACAGTAATCCAGAAACTGTGGCCAGAGCTCTGGTAGGATCGAAGAGATGCATGTTTATCTATTTTGCTTTTCTGAAGCTTTTAGCCATGTTCCTGTCTCCAGTTTCATGGCATAGATGGGAGGCTTGGTCACATTTACCTTCCTCACCCCGTGGTCCTCAGCAGCAGCTGTGTCTGTTGGTGGGCAGAAGGTGCACTGGTCTCTTGTCTCCAGCTGGCCAGGGGAGAGAGGACAACAGCCATTCCCTTCCTTGTTTCCTCATGGTCAGTGTCCTTCGTTTCCATCAGGCTGGGCAGTCTGCTTTCCTGGTGAATGTTCTTCCCTGCAGTGAGGGGCAGACATCAAACACTCACAGGCTGCTCTTTGGGTGTGCAGCCACCCTCCCATCAGAGGGGCCTCTGCAGCTCTGCCACCCTGGCTTGGCAAAGCCCAAATGACTTCACAGCTGGAAAAGAAACTTCCTGGGGGTTTTCCCACTATGGCTATTTTGGCAAATTTTTCTTCTGCGCAGTCAGAATGGAAAGAGTTACAGATGCCACAATTGTTTTAGGGACACAGTCTGCACTTTGGTGCTTTGAAACAGATGTACCATACTTCTGCAGGGTCTTCACATACATGCTATTTTCTCACTCATTATTTTCAAAAATTCATTCAAAATGAGCAATCCATGCCCTCCTTGAAGAAAAAAAAAAAATAAAAGGCACAAAGACTAGCCAACCCAAAGCATTTTAGCAGGGCCTTACTACATGGGTGACACAAATGTACTTAATAAAAATCTAGGACATCTTAATGCAGCAAGAATTTACACCAACTCATAATCAACAGACTGATAAGAACAGAGTACTTAAAAATCTTAACT